TCATTTGTATAAGATAATTACTTTTTTTTAACCTTTTCCTAGATGCTATTACTTTTTAGAATCACGTCATACTCAGCTCTGCCCCAATCTTTTCTTTCAAACTCCCAATTACTAATTAAAATCTTAGAAGACAGTTTACATTTCCTAGTATGAAAAGTAAACAGTCTGTGCTTATTGAGTCCCTGGTAATTAGTCTTTGATGTTTACCTTATATTTCTCTTGAGTCTTGTATGTCAAATGTTCTATTGAGTTCAGGTCTTTTTGCAATAAAATCTCAGAAGTCTGGCAAATTGTTGAATGTCTATTTTTTTTTTATTCAAGATTATGCTTGACTCTGCTGGGTATGATATTTTTGGCCACCCCAGTTCTTTTGCTCTTCCATATACAGTGTTCCAAAAACACTTAAAGTATAGCCACTGCTAGGTCTTGTGTGATTCTAATTGTGGCTCTGCCTATATTGAATGCATTTTTTTTTCTTGTTGCTCATGTTTTCTCCTTGAGCTGGGGATTTCAGAATCTAGCTATGTTATTCCTGTAGGTTTTCCTCATAGAATCTCTTTCAGGAGGTGATTGGTGGATTTTTCCTATTTTTACTTTCTCCTCTTGTTTGAACACTTCAGGACAATTTAACTATTTCTTGTATTATTGTATCAAGAGTCTTTTTCTGATTGCAGCTTTCAGGTCATCTGGTTATTGTTATGTTTTCTCTTCTTGATCGGTTCTCCAAATCAGTTTTTTTTTCCTTGTGAGATGTTTCACTTTCTCTTCTATTTTTTCATTCTTTCTATTTTGTTTTGTTATTTCTTGGTCTCTTATAACTTTCCTGGCTTCCCCTTGCCCAGTTCTAATTTTCAAGGAGTTACTTTCTTCCTTTTTTTTTTGGCAAGGGAATTGGGGTTAAGTGACTTGCCTAGGGTCACACAGGTAGTAAGTGTCAAGTGTCTGGTCTGAGACTGGATTTGAACTCAGGTCCTCCTGACTCCAAGGCTGATGCTCTATATCCACTGCACCACCTAGCTGCCCCTATTTTCTTCCTTAAGATGTGGGACATCCATATCTAGTTGGTTGACTCTTTTCATAATCTTCTTCATTTGTTTATTTTTTTTGGACTGTTCTTTTTTGTATTTATGCTCAATCTCTCTCATTTTAATTTTTGAAGTCTTTTTTTAAACTTCTATGAATTCTTTTTTAGGCAGGTGACCATTTGACATTACTTTTTGGAGTAGGAAAGGCTTTCTTAAAAATTCAATATCCTTCTCTGAAGATGAACCCTGCTCTTCTCTATTCACATAGTAACTTTCTATGGTTGGGTTCTTCGTTTTGGCCTGCTCATTTTTAAAAAATGTATGGCAAATTGTTGTTGTAATCACCTCTAGTCATTGGATATGGGGGATGGTGCCTCTGGCCTCAGGTCCTCCTTCAGTTCTCCCATCTGGCCTGGAACTGAAACCAAGAACTCTGCCCTCCTGTAAGTGGTCACAGCCAGGGGCATTCCTGAACTTCCAGAAGTGCTCAGCTTCTGCACTTAGCAGACATGTGCTGGTTCCTTCTCACCCAGAGCTGTGTCTCAACAGGGCAGCTGAGCCTGGCATCCCTTATCAGCAGAGGTTCCCTCAATCTTCCCCACTCAGATGCCCAACTCCCCACATTGTCCAGGAGGAGAAAGTTCCTGTGGCTGAGGCCAACATTACCTCCTAACCCAGCTAGCCCCAGGGCTTTCTGCTTGCTATTTCAGCAGAACTAGCCTGTAGGTGTTTACACTTCATAGGTTTTCTTCCAATCTTTGGTTGTCTCAGGAGGACTACTGTTCTGTCCCAACTCTTGTTTATTTTTGCCACTCTACATTCACCCTGAGGCACTATTTTGTCTTGTTTGTGGGGGAAATCTGAAGAGCTTGGAATTTTCTGACCTACTTCACCCTCTTCCCAGAATCTTCCCCTCCCCAGTTTTTAATCATCTGTGAATTTGATTAAGATACTATGTATGAGACATAACCAGACACAGATCTCTTAGGCATTCCACCAAAGACCTCTTTCCAAGTTGATGTCCAACCAGTAATTACTATTCTTTGTATCTAATCATTCAACTGGTTTTAAATTCATCTCCCTGTTCTATCACCTAGCCCACTTCTTACCATCTTTTCTACAAGAATAGCATGCAAGATTTTGCAAAATGCTTTTATAAGTTCTTCACAAATTCTTACCGTTATAATATTTACCTGATCTACATGTCTAGTAATCCTGCCAAAAAGGGGAATGGGATCAGTGTGGCCTTGATGAGGCCATGCTGGCTCTCTGTCATGACTACTTCCTTTTCTTTGATGCTCATCAGCAATCTCCTTAATAATGCATTCCAGATTTAGGTGAGGAATTAGAATCAACCTCACTGACCTATAGCTTGCAGACCTCATTCTCTTCCCTTTTTTAATAATTGGAAAAACATTTATGGCTCTTCTTAAAGTTCTTTCAAAGATCAACCACAGTATCTCAGCAAACACGTGTATCTGTTCTTTCTGTGCTCAAGGACATGATTTATCTGTGCCAGATGACTTGAACTCCTTAGAGCTGGATAACTCAGTGGATAGCATGGGGATTAGAGTCAGCTAAACATGAATTCAAATCTTGCCTGACAAACTCACTAGTGGTGGCCCTAAGCAAGTCAATTAACATTTCTGTGTCTCAGTTCTTTCATTTGTAAAGCCAGAATAAGAACATATAGCTCATGAGGTTGTTGTGAAGCTCAAATGAGTTAACATATGTAAAGAAGAGCTTTGCACATCTTAAAGCACTATATAAATGTTAGCCGTTATTTTTTTACTAGGTGCTCTTACCATTTATTGACTTATCTTGGGTATCATCTCCCAATGAGCTATTCTTTTCTGTCCTTTCCAGTACAAAGATAATTCTCTTTGGCAAACAGGTAAAAAAAAAAGTTGAGCAGCTCTGCCTTCTCTCCACTCTTAATCATTTCCTCATCCACCCCAAGCAGTAATCACCTCCCTTCCTTGAACATTTTCTCCTCCCTAATACAGCTGCAAAACAACTCAAACTTTATTACCCTAAGCTATCCTCTCCAATTCATATACAAATATTTATTATGAACTGTTCATTCCACCTTTGCAATCTCTCTCAAATTCAGTCTCTGCTTTATTCTCACTAAAAGCACCTTAGTAGTGGTTAGCATTGCCACTTTCCTGGACTACTGCATTATTATTCTAACCTGTCTTATTGCTTTAACTCTGACAGGCAGTGTGGTATAATGAATGAATGGAGTATTTGATGTGGGATGCAAAAAATCAAGGTTCAAATCCTGCCTCTGATATTTTATAGCCCTAAAATCATGGGAAAACCAGCTTGGTGGGCTTCAAGTTTTCTCATCTGTTAGATGGGCAAATGAGTATCTACCTTGAGACTCAAATGAGAAAATGTATATAAAAATTTGGGCAACTTTTAAAATGTTTTATGGTGATGAATTCTGAATAAAGTTTGAAGCATATTTTTTTTTATTTTATTTTTATCGATTTACTTTGTGTTTTCTTTTGCAACAAGGCTAATATGGAAATATGTTTTGCATGACCTCACATTTATAATTACAATAAAATTGCATACCTTGTCAAAGGAGCGGAAGGGGTGGGAAGGAGAGCATTTGGAACTCAAAAATTTTTTCTAAAATGAGTGTCAATTTTTTCTACATGCAATTGGGAAACTTTACTGAAATAAAAAATTTTAATTTGAAATAATGCTATCTAAAAATAAGCTAGCATTGATTCTTTCCCTCAAAACTCACTTCTAATCCATCCTTCGCATGGTTTCCAAAATAATCTTTCCTTATGCACAGACTTGGTCAGGTTATTTTTCTTCTCAAAAAAAGAAAATCCTCAGTACTCTCTACTGCTGACCAAAGAAAATTTCAGTTTGGCTCAAGAAATCCTTATGATGCAGCTATTGAATGCAAGTTGCTGTACTAAGATAAAAATGAGAGTCCCTGCACTCCAGGTATTTGAATTCTACTGGAGGAAGGTGACACAAACTCAAATGAGAAAGCTGAAGTTGATATAAAGTAATAAAAAATAACTTCAAGGGAACAGAGAAATAAAGATCCAATCTCCTTCTCTCCTTTTAAAGCATGATAGGCTTTTCATAGTGCTTATATTTACAGGTTTATGTCATAGAAGGTGCTTTTCTTATGCTCTGGTAAAACTGGATTATTCTTCGCCCTGGTGCATGCCCTGTACTTTCCAGCTTTCCTGCTTTGGCTTAATTGTTCCCTATGCCTAAGCTATCCTTCCATCTCCTTGTTACTTATTGAATTCCTACCCATCCTTTAACAACTCAAATGTCACCTTCTTCATGAAGCCTTCTGGGAGCTCCACTTTGTAACAGCATCTTCTCCTTCCTCCCAATAGTCATAAGGACTAGTTCTGTTTAGCCACAGAAATCAGAATTAAAGGCAATGGAGGAGGGAAAAGAGGAGGAAAAAATGAAGAGAAGTTACCAAGAGGCTGACTTGGCTTAATCCATTGAAAAACTGTGTAAGAGATTAGAGCTACTCATAAGGGGACAAAAGTTCCTCCCTTGGGAACTCATTCTCCTTCATAGATGGGCTTCCAAAAAAGCCTGGATAACTATTTGTCAGGGATATTAATAGAATTATATATCAAGAACTGGAAGGGAGCACAGAGTCTACTTCATTTAACTCCTCATTTTACAGATAAGGAAACTTAGCCCCAGGACGGTTGTCTAAGGTCTCCCAGGCAAAGTCAGTGGACTGCTGCTCAAGTGGCACTTGTAAGGTCCTTTCCAACTTTGATACACTGTTCCCTAGGATTGAGAAATGCATAGCATATGGAAGGAAGGAAAGAAGGAAGAGAGAGACAGAGACAGAGAGAAAGAGAGAGAGAGAAATTAAGAGAAAGAGAGAGATTGAGAGAGAGAGAGAGAAATTGAGAGAGAGAGAGAGAATCAGTGCTCTGTTTAACTTAGAAATCTTTCTTCCTACAGATATGCTAGCTTTATCATGGCACTGGGCACTACTTTTATGTTGTTTTCCGGGCTCGTTTCTCCCTTTGTTACTGGATACTTCATCAACCAGGTAAAGTATCTATGCTTTAAAAGGATTTGAACTCGGTTTAGAATAAGCACTGGATGGAGATAAAAACAGAGGAGGAAGGTGAAATGGACCCAAAGAACTGTAGACAGTGGAACAGGAAGGAACCTTAGAGATTAGCTATTCTAAATCTTTTATTAACACAGGAAGAAAGTGAGGCTCAGTGTGTTTAAGTGACCTACACAAGTAATAAGCAGTACAGTCCAAATTCCAGGCTCTTCCCACCAGCCATGCTTTGATCTGGGATTGGGGAAGGAAGGGCACAGTTTAGGAGAAAACTCTCAGGAGGAGTCCCAGAAACAGGGAAGGGAAGAGGTCACTCCTTAGGCAGGACTCCAAGTTAGATTTCAGTGAGGAGGGAGAAGAGGGGCCACACAGCCACAGGTCTCTTTACTGGGTCCCTAAGAAGGGACCCTCTGCTGTCAGAGCCTATGTCTCCCCATTACAATCTGTATAGACAGTTCTCACTAGGTGGCAACAGGCTCAGTTCTGTGGCTACCTTCTCCTCCATCTCTTACCTCATATTAAAGGTAGAAGGCTCAAAAATCCTACAGCCTGGCACCACTCTACTGGGCAACTGGTAGGAAGGGAACTCAGGTGATAGGAGGCCACATGGAGAGGAAGGGATTCAGGCAAGTGGAGAAAGAGTAGGAGAGACCACAGCTAAAAAAACAAGAGGACCAGGACCCACCACCTTCTTCAGCCCCACCTCCCCCCCAACACACACACTCATACATACTCAGCTGAAGCAATATGAGGGGCTGCAGTCTATTTCCAGAAATCCCAAAAGTTCACATTAAAATTCCTCAATAAGAAGAATTCATCTTTGTACAATGATGTGTATGAGTATGTATGAACCTGTAATGTCACGGATGTAGGAAACTCCCTGTGAGGACACTCCCTGCTCTGCTCTGCAGCTACAGTCTCAGAGTTACCTGGGTCACTGAGGACCTAAGTGATTAGACCAGGGTCCCAAACCTTAGTATGAGGCAGAAGAGAGACTTGAACACAAGTCAGTGCTTCACCACTACTTCTCCAATGGAGGATTAAAGTTTACAAATCACTCTCTTCACAACCAGCCTATGAAGCAAGTTGTACAAGGTTATTATCACCATATCTTTATAGATAAGGAAATGGAGGCTCTGATCAAACAGGTGACCCATGGTTACAAGATGAGTGTCAGAGTCGGCATGTATACTACATTTCCTGACCCCAAATCTAAGCCTCTGTCTACTGCATCTCAGTGCTTCCTCAACCCTTTGCTTCATCATGTTTGGAAGCTTCATTTAACTGCCACTAACTCAATGAAAGGCACTTTAATTAAAACCAAAACTGATAATCCCAGAGAAGGCCCTCTTTGACCTGAAGAATTTCATGTGTTTTCTGAGAAGATTGAGGAAGGTAAAACCTTTTTGGACCGATATTAAATCTTCAACTGACAATTTTTGTACCCACAGGATAATGCAACAGGCTGGAAGAATGTTTTCTTTCTATCATCTGCCATTAATCTATTAGGAATGGTTTTCTACCTCATCTTTGGCCAGGCAGACATCCAGGATTGGGCCAGAGAGCATAGACTCACCCGCTTCTGAGGGGCCATGGAAAATGAACTGAAAATTAGTTCTACCAAAAACATCCTGAAGGATTTTTAGAGTCATCCTTGACTTCTCAACTGTCAGGCAGTATATGCCAATGTCAAGCTTGTCTTTTTAATATCCACAACATCTCTTATGTGTGTCTGCCCTTCTCCACTCACTTAGCCACCACCCTAGTTCAAGCCCTCATCACCTCTTGCTTAATCTAATGCAATGACCTTTTGCATCTACCTGCCTCATCTCTTCCCCACTCTGATGCATCCTCCCCACAGCTGACAAAATGATTTTCCCAAGGCACCAGACTGACTGTATTACTCCCCTCTAATCAACAAATTCCACTATATCCCAATTGCCTCTAGAATAAAATATAAACTACTATATTTGAAATTTAAAGCTCTTCGCAGTGTAGCCCCTTCCTACCTTTGTGGTCTTCTTATATTTTACACCTCTCCTCACATTCTGCATTCTGGACCTACTGCTTTGCCTTCTCATTATTCTGCACATATAACATTCTCCATGACTGTGCACTCACTGGCATCCATACCTGGAATATATTCACTCTACACCTCCGCCTCTTGAAATCTTAGATTTTCTTCAAGATTCAGCTCAAGTGCCATGCATCTTTTCCTGGTCCCCACCTCAGCTGCTAGGGGACACCCTAGCATGCCAATAAACATTCCAATAAACAAAACAATACCAATTGACATACCAATAAAATATTCATTTTGCATTGAGGAAATTAAAATTATTTTGTGTCATTTAATAATTCTATTCTGTAACTGACCCTATTTTATATTACTGCCCCATTTTGTATGATTGCTCCAGCCACATTTCTCCATCCCTGAGTTAAGCTCAGGAATACAGTTTTCTTTCTGAGTCAATTTAAAGGTATAATTCAAGGGGAATGTTGTTATCACTCTGACCCTTACCTCCTGGAACATCTGCTTGTTGTCTGTAAGTCTCAACCAGCTTAACCTGGTACCATCCCGAAAAATGTTTTCATCCTTGCCTATGGTTAGAGGAAATTGGATATTGGACATCGAGGCCAGTGGTACTGATCCCCTAGCAAAGATTACAAAAGGCAGATGAGTCCCATAAAACAATTAACATTCCATAACTGTCAGAGAGGGCCAAAGCACTTTTCTTAGTATAGCCAATTGTAGTCTTCCCCAACTAACCTGACCCCTCTTTTCCTGTGTTTCAATAAAGAAGATCTCTTCCTTCTCATTGGGGTCACTGGTCTTACTAAGGTTGCCAGTCTGACCCACTTTGTTAACAGTTATACACATCACTGTTAATAAATTGATTCTGCTCAAAGTCTGCACCTCAGTTTTCAGTTCAGTTATTTCAGTCATGTCAAAATCTTTGTGACCCTATTTCGAGCTTCTTTGGCAAAGATACTGGAGTGGATTGTCATTTCCTTCTCCAGCTTGTTTTACAGATGAGGAAATAGAGGCAAACAGGGTTAGATGACTTGCCCAGGGTCATACAGCTACCAAGTGTCTGAAGCCAGATTTGAACTCAGAAAGATGAGTCTTCCTGACTTCAGGCCCAGTACTCTATCCACTGTGATGCCTAGCTGCCTGTTCCTCAATTGACCTTTATTGAATTTACTCAAAACAGTGCACATTCTGTATATAATCATGAGTACATGGCATCTCATTCATTAGGATGTAAGTTCCTCGAGGGCAGGCAGTGTTTCACTCCTGTCTTCATATCCTCAGCATTTAGTCTAGAGCAGACACTTAATCCATGCTTGTTTATTGGTTTTAATTTTTTATTCCCTGACCTGCTGGCTCCTTAGCTATGAGTCTTGATTCTGGATCCAGCCCTGTTCTTTAGAGATGTGGTCAACCTAAGCAAAGGATGCTCTGATGAGTCTACACATGTTTTACTATAGCCGGATGTCCCAACGAGATGAACAAACAAGTATCACCAAATTACAAAATATTAGATTTGCAAGGGACGTTGGTGATCATCTAATCAAACCCTTGCAGGAAAAGGAATCCCCAAGGAATCAGGTCGGTAGAGTAGCAGAAAACAATGTAAAGAGGAGCTTTCTCCCCCACTCCCAAACAGATCTAGAAAATACATCAGACATAATACTGATGGGAAAATCCAAGAAAAAGTCACAGTACATCATTTTTCCAGACCAGTTCAGCACAAGGAGACAAGGAGGTCTGTGGACACTGGAGGTGAAGTCAGGACCAGCACCTTTCTGGACAGTATGCCAGCACCCAGAACAAAGTTAAGACCTGGGGCATGACGAGGACCAGTACAAGGTATCCCTAGACCTATACCAAAGCACCAAGATGCTGGGACAGGTGAAAAGTGGCAGCTTTGTTGCCCATTACCCAGTTCCCAGTAACAGATGCAGAGTAGACTAGGAGAGGACCTGCCCCAACCCACCCTGCCCCAAGTAGTCTTCAGCCCTAGTGGTATACTGAGAAGGAAGCAATTCAGAAGCAAGCAAAAGCAGTGTGTCTCAGACACCAGGAGCAGAACAAGTTATCAGTTCTAGCCTCCAGCCTAGTCTGAAGAATGCAGATTAACCAAGCCATTCCAGACCAAAGGGAAACCTATGATTCTGTCCTTCTGAACCAGCAGAGCTGCCGAGGTGGCTAACAGTAGCTGAGTCCAGCACCAGTTTCCTATTTCTCAGACCCGAACCTAGGTCAGAAGTTTGCAGAACTCAGAGCAGAGGGGTAATTCAGATTTTGCCCTGAATCAGACCAATATGGAAGTGCTGATAGCTTGCCAGTACCCAGCCTGAGCTATCCCTGAGATCCCAGAGCAATACAACTCATGACCCCCAAGAAAGCAGCAAGAGGGCCAGCCAGATATTCCCTATAGAGACTACCCATAATAGGAAGTCTGCAGTCAGAAGTAGGCTGGAAGAATGAGCAAACAAACGAAAAAGAATTCCACCATATAAAGTGTTTATGGTGACAAAAAAGCTCAAGACACAAATGCAAAGAACGACATCAAAACATCTACAAGCAAAGGTTCTGTGAAAAATACAGCTTGAATATAGTCTATATCAGATTGCACTCTGTCTTGGGGAGGGGGGAGGAGAAGGAGGGGGAGAAAATTTAAAACTCAAAATCTTATAGAAGTAAATGTTGAAAACTAAAAATAAATTAATTGTTAAAAAGAAAAGGACCCCTATCTTCTAGACCGCATCATATCCACTGTGCCACCTAGTTGCCCAGAAATATGATAATAGTAATAATAATTTTACATAAATTTGATATAGCAAAGATAGCTTAAGATGACTTCATTTGTGAAAAGCAGAGTTCTAAGATCTTACCACCTCTGCTAATAGTTTAAAGTGATTAAGTGAAAGTGATTAATGGTGTTGGAGTTTTGCAATATACTGACAATGGGACAAAACTTCAATACTTCTCCATCAACTCCCAGATCTAGTCAGTTATCAAGAATGGTTGACTGTCTCCATATCATTTACATCACACTGAGGTGCTATTCCATAGGATTGAGATTCTAAACTCTAATTTCAATACAACAAGCAAACTAAAATCTGTTTGATTCTCAGTAGACACACAAACACACACACACACACACACACACACACACACACACACCAGTCCACTTGTAATCTTCTGAATAATCCACCATATACTTGAAAATCATTGCCAATATTAACTTCTCTCTATTAGTCTTGTCCATCTTTTTCTCAAAGGTATTATTAAAAAGGGGGGGGGGACAGCTAGATGGCACAGTAGATAGAGCACTGTCCCTGGAGTCAGAAGGACCTGAGTTCAAATCCAGCCTTAGACACTTGAAACTTACTAGCTGTGTGACCCTGAGCAAGTCACTTAACCCCAATTGCCTCACCAAAACAAAAAAAATCAAAGGTATTATTTTCCAATTCTTCATTCTTTGTTTTTGTGGCTTTTCTTTGAATCCTCCTTACATTTTACTTGTTTCTCTTAATTTGTAGAAACTCATAGCAGATATATATTCTAGAAAGAATGTGATAAATTGATCTTACCTAATTCAAAGGTCTAAAAGTTTAATCTGGGTTCATTAGGTCACTTCAAACTCACAAGACCTCTTGAGGGCAGAAGTGACCTGTCATTGACAATCAGACTCATAAGGATTCATAATCCATAAATACAAGATGCATCTTGAAAAACTTAGCTGAAGAGGGAAGCAAGGGTATCAACGTGTTGGGTCTACAAGATGGGTAAGCACATAGCTGGGACAGAAACCATGAGTCAAGGAATGAGATAAGGTAGGTGTTTTCAGTACAAAGTCAACAAACCCAGGTAGGACTAAGTGGAAACGTGACCCACCTCCAGATACAAAAGTGAAGGACTCAGGTTGCAAACTGAGACATTTATCTTTTCTTGGACATGGTCAATGCAGGAATTTGTTTTGCTTGACTATATATGTTTGTAAGGGGCTTTGTTTTTCTTGCTCTCTCAAGGGAGGCAGTGAGAAAGAAGAAATTCAAGTGTGAAAAGAAAACTGAAAAGAATAAAGTTGGAAGCATGCCATTATTCAAGAGTGCTAGAGAGCTGACATTCATCTGAATAACAACTCAGTCATGTGGTTATTCATAATTAAAACCAAATGTTTTCAGAAAATCTTTGTAAAGGCAACAAGACCATATTTTTAATCACCATTTTACAGATGAGGAAATAGGCTGAGGGAAGTTAAACGACTTAGCTATAATTGCATAGTTAGTAAAGGCCAGGGTTGGGATTGGAAGCTCTACATCATAAATCCATCTCCCAATCTCTGTCTACTGTATCAGACATCTTATATCCTATTATAAGAACTAGATACGTTGCATTCTGTGTTCCCCATTTTCTACTGAACACGAGTTTTCCTCCTAGTAAAAGTGAACTTTCGAACTTTATTTCTTAGACATTTTCAATTTTATTCCAACCCACCAAAGTGCTAGATGACCTCTCGGATTGTTTCAAAACCAAACTGCTAGAAAAAGTAATATTGGCATTTTACCTCACCTTCTTCTCCTCCCATTTATTTTTCAATCTCTTAAAATCTGGCTTCCCACCCCACTACTCAACTAAAATTGCTCTCCCTGAGATTGGTAATTTCTTAACTGTGATGTAAGCAATCAAAATTTCCCCTTTTTTGGGCAGAGCACTTGCAGACAAGGGCATTATATAATTAGGGCAGGGGAGAGGAGAGGAGGGGACAGGAGAGAAACTCAAATAGAAATGGACCTCTGAAGCTGCATATTGACTTAGAAAATCAAAACGAGCACTTTATCTATATGGTACTGTGTTTTAATTACTTTGTTAAACTTTGCCCAATTCCATTTACACACACATATATATGTATATATATGTATGTATATATGTATATATATGTATATGCATGTATATATGTATGTATGTATGTATATGTATATGTATGTGTGTATATGTATGTATGTATATATGTATGTATATGTATATGTGTGTATGTATGAATATATGTATATTTATGCATATGTGTATGTGCATGTATATGCATGTATATGCATGCATATATGTATGTATATGTGTATGTATGTATATATGTATGTGTGTATATGTGTATGTGTGTATATGTATGTATATATGTGTGTGTGTATGTATGTATACGTGTATATGTATATATGTGTATATGCATGTATATGTATGTATGTGTGTGTATATGTATATGTGTGTATATATGTATATATGTATATATGTGTATATATATGCATG